GAAAGTCGCTCCTGAAAATTGCACATTGTTGCAAACGCGTTCTGGGTTTGCAACTTTCTTGTCCACGAAAATCGTACATTGTTGCACGACGCGGTATCGCGCTTGCAACTTTGTTGCTGAAAGCAGCTCCCGAAACTTGCACATTGTTGCACGACGCGGTATCGCGCTTGCAACTTTGTTGCTGAAAGCAGCTCCCGAAACTTGCACATTGTTGCACGACGCGGTATCGCGCTTGCAACTTTGTTGCTGAAAGCAGCTCCCGAAACTTGCACATTGTTGCACGACGCCCCGTTTTACAACAATGTGCAATTTTCGGGAGCTGCGTTTGAAAACAAAGTTGCAAACCCGATTATTCTTTTGCAACTTTGTAGCCGAAAGTCGCTCCCGAAAATTGCACATTGTTGCAAAGGGGTAATCGCGTTTGCAACTTTGTTGCCGAAAACAGCTCCCGAAAATTGCACATTGTTGCAAACGAGTTCTGGGTTTGCAACTTTGTTGCCGAAAGTCGCTCCCGAAACTTGCACATTGTTGCAAACGCGTTCTGGGTTTGCAACTTTGTTGCCGAAAGTCGCTCCCGAAACTTGCACATTGTTGCAAACGCGTTCTGGGTTTGCAACTTTGTTGCCGAAAGTCGCTCCCGAAACTTGCACATTGTTGCAAAACGGGGCGTCGTGCAACAATGTGCAATTTTCGGGAGCTGCGTTTGAAAACAAAGTTGCAAACCCGATTATTCTTTTGCAACTTTGTTGCCGTGAGACGCTCCCGAAAATTGGACATTGTTGCAAAACGGGGCTTCGTGCAACAATGTGCGATTTTCGTCGACAACAAAGTTGCAAACCCAGAACTCGTTTGCAACAATGTGCAGGTTTGGGGAGCTGTTTTCGGCAACAAAGTTGCAAACGCGATTACCCCTTTGCAACAATGTGCAATTTTCGGGAGCGGCTCATGGAAACAAAGTTGCAAGTCTGTAACGCGTTTGCAACAATGTGCAATTTTCGGGAATGACTCTCGGCAACAAAGTTGCAAACATGTAACGCGTTTGCAACAATGTGCTTCTTTCGGGAGCCCACGCGAGTTAATAATAATAATAAGAAAGAAAGAATGAGAAAATAATACGAGTTAACGATGTTACAAGCGAGAATGACGCTTACCAACAATGTTACATACAAGTGTAGTGCTTGTAATAATGTTTGTGTTCGAAATAACGCTTCTAATAATGTTGCAACCAGAAATAGAGATTCCAACAATGTTTGCGTTCAAATATAAGGCTTCAAGCAATGTTGCATTCGAAAGTAAGGCGTACAACAATGTTTTGCATTCGAAATAGTGCTTCTATCGATGTTACATTCGAGAATAGAGACTGCAGCAATGTGTACATTCAAGTTTCAAAGATGAACAGTGATATAAAAGTATCTTGCTACTTAAAAATCACCGTTCAACGATATAAAAGTTCTTTTCCTGCTACTGCAACTGTGTCCCACACTTCGATCAACTTGCAACCTCAACTTACACGAGAACAAAGGCTCCGCGCAAACAAAACGTCATTATACATTCTCAACATATTTTTCCATTCCTAGTGAATCCCCCTCCCTGTTTCAACTTGCAAAGTGTCCACAGAAAGTTTGGAAGGTAAAAACGCCTCACTGGGAATATCCCGTTGTTTGACCCCAAAGAATTAAGTGTATATTCGGCACACTGATGCAATGTGGGTTGGAGTTATAAATAACGAATGTAATAGGTTCCTTATACTAGTATTTGTATTCGTACAAATTGATGTAAATTCGATAGTAATTATCATAAATAAGGAATGTAATAATGTGTGTAATAGAATGTTCATATTGTTATTTGTATGATTAATGATTTATAAGGTTTCTGATTTCGTAAGAGAAAGAGATACGCATCTCGATTAGATGCGCGTTATACATGAATTAATCTACGATTCTTCTAAACACAGTTTTATTAAACGATGAAATTCACCACGTGTAATTAGCATGTTCTGCTGTCTTTCTATATCTATTGTTAGGAAAAAGATGGAGTTGACCTTCTTATCACAATTGTTCTAAACATACGATGGTTGTATCTGCCCTGAGTTTCGTATTAGTATTTGCACATAAAGTTACATAATAAGTTAGATAGAATTGTTATCAGTAAGATACGGAAGCTTAACTTTGGTGGACGAAATATTAGAGAATTCTTTAGAGTGCGATAAGAATTACTAAGAACTATTCAGATAGAGAATATAGGAAGTATTCAATGAGTTTTATAAGACTAAGTATAGGAATATAATACTCGTTTTCGAAAATGGAGTTGTAAGAAATTTTTATATAAAAATATACAGAAGTGTAAACGTTTGTTACATTTATGAAATATAATATAATAATGTTTACTTCAACTAATATGGTTTTGTTGTTAAAAATTTATTACTGTTTTAATTATTTTAATAATATGGATCGACAGTAGAAGAACATGTTCAGATCTAAGAGGATCAGAGAAGCTGCAATTACATATATCTATAGCGAGAAGTACAGAATCCTTGTTTAACGATTAACCTAACATCAGCTGGTAAACACGATCAACGAATTGTCACTCAAAGAAATTACAAAAACTAAGCAAAAATTAATTTAAATAATAAAAAAAAAATTCAAGTTATTCCATTTGGAATAAACGCAAATGTAGATAGAGGAAATATTTTAAAAACGTATCGTGAGTTAAATATTTTGTACAATTTACCATCAAAAGTTAAGATTGTACTCTACTATAGTACCAACAGTTAATAACTAAAAATTAAGAGAAAGAAAAACTCTTACTTACTCAAAGTAGGTAACTAGTTTCCTACATTACCTTCGACATCTTCTTTCAGCAATATATATTTCCACAAATCAAGAATATACCAAGAAAAACAAACTTAAATAAAAAAAAAAAAAAACACTTAGAACTTATATTATAAGGAGTACCTAATATGTGCATAAAATATATCGCCTTCTCGGGCTTATTTTACACAATCCAAACACAGCATACGATAAGCACGACAAAATTTCATCATGGACTCTCTTCGATCTGTTTCTGTTTCTGTTGCTGCTCCAATTTCCTTTTTTTCTTCAGCACTTTCATATGTTTCTGACCAGCACGATGAATATCCCATTGATGATTGCCAATGAACACTCTCTCGCATACCTGTCGAAAATAAATCCAATTTCTCAAATTACTCGAACTGGAAAACTATTTAAACGTCGATCTCAACAATTTTAAATTGAAATTTACAGAGCAATAGTGCCTTTCTTCGTTACTGGCGTCGGAAAATTTGTGATTCTCAACAGTTTCGTTCAGAGGCGTCTGCTCAGGTTTCTCTCCTCTTAGTATAGTTTCGATTATTTCCACGGCCGGCTCGTATACACAACTGTTCCATTCATTTACATCGGTGCAGTCCAGTGCATAAACCGGTGGCACCTGCAATCAAATAATGAAATTAATTAAAATCACTCTATTAT